CAGCGTTCTTGTTGAACATAGCAGCAATGGTGAACTTGTATTCTGTCTTGCCACTTCCGAGCGGGCTTTCGCTGCTAGTGTAGGAAATGTCGACCTTGACTGAGTTGAGGCCAATAACACCAATCTCCAGTCCGTCATCCCAGTTGAAGCCGAGCTCACAACCCAAGATCTTAGCGTCTTTGCTACTGGCGACTGGATAGCCGATTGTGAAGCGGGCATACATGAGCTGAACCTCCAGGATGGATTTGACAAGGACCGGTAGGGAATGTAGGGTTCTGGGAAGCCCCAACGCATCGATCATGTCTAATACTGAGATTCCATCGGGGACTTCGATGCTGAGACTCCCTAAAATGTTGTCATTCATGGTTAATAGATGAGCGTGGTAGGTTCTTAAGAGCGATGGCAAGACTTACCAACTGTATCTTTTTGGGGTAGCTTAAAGGAGGCTCTGGCAATAGTTTTGATCTTCTCTATGATAAAGTCGGCCTGCATAGAGGCGTGATAAACTCCATCCAAATACTCCGTGTCTATAGTGCCATCCCTCACCGTTAGCACGTCTGGCAGTACCCTAAAGTTGCAAACACTGGTCCTAAGAGACCAGTCTCCAAAGCTCCACCCCGAAGTAGTGCTCTTCTCCACGGCGAGTGATATTTGGTGGATGAAAAAGGTGGTGTCTGGACTCGAATGCATGGGAAATACGTCGTTGAGATTTTCGAATGTAGCTGTGTCAGTTACACCCACAGCTTCGAGAAAATCGTATATAAAGAGGCTTTGATTCGAGGGCGATATCCAAAGCCGAAACTCATACGAGTCAGATTTGGGCAACGGGTTGGCGGAAAAGGTTACATCGATATCGCAGGGTGGCGTGGTTTTCATGCGTGCCTTGTAGTTAACTTGAGCTCCCACCGATATATGGTTTGCATCGAGAGGATTATACACCTGAACCTTGACGTCTCCTTTGACTGTGGGAACCGATGAAGGAAGAAAGTTTTGCCACTCGTCAAAGTCTGTAGAGGCCCATACACGCGACAATACACAATGGGAATGTGCAGTAACAGGCTGAGTTACCGCGAAGCCAACCTGAGATGGGCTAAGGGACTGCAAGGTAAAGCCCTTATCATTCAGCGGGACGGCTTCTGTAAAGCTCATGGTTCCTGAAAGCTCAGTGACGAGGTCGTGTAGCGATTGAGTGCCATCGATGGTGAACTCGACCTCAGGATGCTCCCTGTCTTGCCCTTCTATCACACATCTCAGGTTTACTATAAGGCCTTGTTTCTTGGCGGCTGCAAATTTGGCCATGCCTGTAAGTATAATAGTCTCACTGGGGCTTGTTGCATTGTATACTGAGAGACCCAGGGTTTGTATCACGAGATTGATTCCAGAAAACGAGATGTTAGGGTCGAAAGGCTTGGGCTTGGATTCACCTTGAAGCACGGCAACAGCCGTGTCGAGATTGCATTTGATGTCCACTTGATGAATCAATGGCATGTTACCTGGAAGCATGGTCACCCGGGCGCGTGAAGTGTCGAGATCGGGAACTAGACGTAGAATCCCTGAGAGCAGCAGTGAAGCAGGAGTCTTTTGATAGAGGAGTGAGTAGATTTTGGAGTCGGAATTGATCAGGTATCCGAGCAGTTTCGGAAGTCGAACCTTCGTAAGTTCTTCGGGTTTGACACCCATACCGATCAAGGACTTTCTGAGAGTTGAAGCATGCTTTGCCCCAGCTACCTGTCTCTTGACCACAACTTCAGTCTTTGTCGTGGTTTTGACGTCGAGTTTGGCTTTGATCAAGTCTTGCTTGTCCCAAGATAGGTCAAATGTAACCTCCTTGACAAGAAAGGTCTCGGATCCAAGCTGGATGGTGGCATTGTCTGGGATTAGGAAGAAAATGCTTGCTGATTGGACTTCAACACTGACTTCATCATAATCGTACTCAACGACCGACTTGTCAAGGTCGATTTGATAGTTGAGCACTGTAGTCTCGAAGTCATTATGCAGGTCCAGGGCCATCAAAATTTCGTTGCTTGTCAACGCCTTAATGGCCTTGCTTGCAGTTGAGATAGTAGTAGGGTCGAGCACTGATGCCATGCAAAACGACCTGAAGCTCTGAGGCCCGTGGGGTAGTCTGGGGATGGGGGGCATGAGAAGCTTTTTCTTCGAGTCCAACTCAATGACGAAATAGACTAGCTGGTAACCTGGTGGCAGTAGACTTTTGTGATCCTCGATTACGAGCGTTGGGACCAACGACACTGTCTTGATGTAAAAGGCTTTCTTTGTACCCGCAACTTTCCAGTACAGCAAAGTCTTTGTACCTTTGCCCCAGGCCGAGGTGATCTTTTCCATCCAAATATCCATCGTTTTCCACTTGTTTTCGGTGGCCATCCACTGTTTGACGACCAAATGACGGGCCTCGTCTTCACCTGTCGGGCCAGTCGAGCCTTGAGTGATCCAAGCGTATTCGACGAGAAGATTTTTTGGGGCCACAAAGGACCATGGGAATAGATCTGGAGTGTCCCCTGAGATGTCTAAACACATTCTCTGGGCGATATCGGGGGGTACGATGCTGCAGAAGATAGGTCCGAGGTCTCGCTCACCCAGGTGTGATGTGTCTGCCTCAACATCAGCACGGAAGTTTTTACGGTCGGCTATTTTCTTGCGATCAAAAGATATTTCCTCCGTGGCAGAAGTCGTGTCTCGATCTAGACCTTTGAAGTCGTCGCTGGCGTCCAAGCTCATGTAGCATCTGCCCTTCAAGACTCTGATGGTTAGGCCGGTTGACAATGTTTTCCAGCCGACACCTGTAGCTTCAGCCAGGCCCTCCAAACCTCGCAAGTCCACGGCTGATCCATCAGTCACGTAGAGTGTGCCGCCCTTGGTTCTGTCTTTGTTCTTCAGCTGATCTTTGATGGCCAAGGCCAGACCTAAAATGGTTTCCGGAGACGGATGCTTGTGGTGATAGTTAGCGCTGATGACATAGGCGTCGGCAACAAAGGTTGAGAAGAATTTCCTGATCTGGCCAACGGCCATATATCGCAGAAACTCCCTTCTCCCCGCTTCCCAGTCAGTAGACTTTTCCCACCATTCCGTTTTCTCCCCTGGACCTTCAAAAAACGCAGCATACGCTGGATCTGTAGCTGGGATTTTCTTGACTTCAGCCAACACCTCCTTGTATAATGTTGATGGTATTGGTCTAAGATTGCCAACGATTTCCCCCATTTCGTAGCCATCTTCCCAGCTCTGGGACCAGTAAGTGTATATTTTCTTACGCTTGTCGAGACTTTCTTTGTACCACTTGAGCCTCTTTTCGGACACGAATTTTTTGTGCTTCTTTTCGAGAATTTCTATGATTTTGGATGGTCCTTTTTTCTTGAGATTCCATTTGGGACTCAAAATGGCTTCAAACCAGTCTCGTACCACTGCCTCCTTGCCAACTTTGGCATGGATTATGTTGCGGTCTTCCTGAATCTGGCTATTGACCATACTGCCATGGTGCTGGATCTTGTAAATGGAGAGCTTCATTGGAGGCTTTTGCGCCGTGATCTTCCATCCGACATTGTCGCCAGTGAAATACATTGTCCCTTTCACTTCCATCTTGGCCGGAACAGTTCTCATCAAAATACTCTCCAAGTTGATCCAGGATTTATCTGGATTGTAATTTGGGCCACCTCCGAGTTTGGGTTTGGGATACCATTTCAGAATTGACTTTGGGTCGGGATAGTCAACCTTGATACCGTCATACTCAAAGCCCGTGCCCTCAGTCCATTCCAATTCATCGACCAACTGCTCCCGGGTGTTCTTGAGGCCCCTAGAACCGTCACAGAATGGCTGATAAAAGTTGCCATTGAACGTGAAATCATATGGCCTTTTGGCGAGAGCATAATTGAGGAATGCCAAGAGCCCATCGAGATGGTCATCGTGTGGATGTGAGTTGATGATGGCACTTGGTTCAAATTTGACCTTGTCGTCGTTGGAGATGCGAGTTTTCCAGATATGCTGCCCAGCTGCGAAAAGATACTTGCTATAGGGAGCATTATTTCCACCGAGTCTTTTTTGGTTTGTTTTTTTGTATAGGGTTAGCCCGGAAGGGTTTGGGGCAACCTCGTAAACTAAAGGCCCTCCATCAAGCAGAACAAGATGCTTTTTTTTGTTTGTATCGGTCCATTCTATGTACATGGCATCCCCGCGACCTGCGTAGATGACGTGAAGGCGAGGGCTGTAATCGTTCATGTTAAGACTCACGAATGTGTTATAATATTTCGATGAAATTGCAATAAAAGAAGAGATTGTAATTGAGTAGGATGTTAAAGGCCAAGGTCATCAAAAATATTCACTTCGGGACTATGACAAGAATCGCCTTTACGTTGCATTACTCTACGGATACCAAAGTACAAAGTAAAATGCATGTTTTGCCGAGAAAACCGTTGTCACATACCAGTCTCGAGTGTAGGTTTGGTCACAGTTTTGACAAGCGCCCGTCATCAGCCACATTCAAGGATTGGCTGTGCATTAAACCGCTTTCGCTCAGAGATGCATTCTTATGTAGCAGAACAGTCCATAGACCATAGTCCAGACTTTATAAACCCTGTCATGAGTCTCTTGTTGGGTGAGTACGAATACAGTGGCACGGACAACTAGTTAAGCCATGTCTCATGGTCAGGCCCTTGGCATTCCACATTTGGTTTGGTCTTATCCACCAGACCTCTCGTTTTGGTGGCATTGTTGACGGTGAACAGTTGAATGGAGCCTAATTAGGTTCAGCTTGGAAACGTCACTGAAGTCTAGACCTACCCTTCAGCCGTTCACGTCCGATAATCTCACATCTGGCCTGTGTACCATGCATGTGTGCGGCGCGATATATAGACTCTATACTCTGTAGGGGGCCTTGATTTTTTGAAAACCATGTTACGACAACTAACTCGTGTTCGAAACGCCACATAACTTTGTTGTGCTTTACGTAGTACCTATGGCACCCCAGGGCCTAATGCCATTCAAAGCACAGTCTAACTACGTCTCAAAGCAACAGCGCAGTCAGCAAGTTGCTTTTGAAAGCCAGGCTCCTGAATGTACTCATTCGCCTTCTTCTTCAATAGCTCTTTGATCGTGATATCATCCATCTCTCCCTCAGTCGCCTCAATCTTGGCTAGGTAGACCCATTTCATAACCCCATCCTCTTCAACCCAATCAGGGAGGCCATCACCGAAATCGAAGCGCCAGTATTTCTTTTCCATACCGCGTGGAGCAAACGCATTGATGAGTTCGCGGAACAAAACGTTAACAATATTCGTGTTGGTAAGAATACCTATCGGACCGAAGACGGAAACCGACGGCTCGCTAAGTGAGACTCCGGTGCCAATGCTCAGGAAACAGTCTGTTGTACGCACTGCAGTAAATACTTGGAGTACCTCGTTCCATAGCCTGGGTCGAGTTAATTTCGTTGACTTATAAAGATGACACATGGAGAGTACTTACCACCCGAGAGGATTGTTTGCTTGCACTCCACCATCGATAAAAGACATGCCATCGATTTCAATGGAATTGAAGTACCCTGGAGCTGCTGATGTGGCACGTGCTGCCTGCCAGAGCTTAACTTTTGGATGGTCAGGCATTGCATGCTTGATCGCATAGGACCGAAAGAGGACGGGCTCCGAGTTATTGGCACCCTCTGCTCTAGACGCAGTGACAAAGCTAACGAGAGTGATTAATTGGTGACTTTTGACCGTATTGAAACAAAACTTACACCTTGCACGAGGGATTGGGGTTGTGTGGATCCTGCAGAAGTACTTCCTCAGGGTCCTGATTGAGCACCCTGTTGACAAGATCCTTGATTACTTTTTCAAGGCCCTCAGACTTCCATTTCTCGCCGCTGGATAGGATGCTCATCCAATAGCCGTTGGTTTTCCAAGACGACGGATCCCAAGTCCACTTCTGCGGTGGCGGGAATACTTTGTCCATGAGAGTATTATATTCGTTGATGCAGTCATCCACTGACATCTCTAGCCGACCAAGCATAATAGCAATCAGTCTATAAGCGATCAAATTCCATTAGTATCAGAAGCACGAATGAATGCTCTCAAGATGTTGAGATTGCTTACCCTCCAGTACTAGTGCCGCCAATCATATCAAACACCTCGCAAGGCTTCTTTCCTGGGCATGCACGGTCCATGATTGCTTTCAAGACTATTAGGGACGCCAGACCACGTACGCCACCGCCATCTAGCAATAATTAGAAGCGATTTGTGTAAGTTGTTGCAGCGACTGGCATACCTAGTGATAGAACCCGGAGCGGCCGTTCATTGGCATCCTCAGTTCCCATTCTATCGGCCCTGAACGTAGTTGCAGACAAAGATGGAAATTCCTCCAAATCAGGAAACGAGAGTTCATTGACATCGTTGAAAGCCTCGAGAGTATATAGAACCTTGGCTGCGATAGTCCCGAAACTGAGAGGCTCCCTCTCCACTTAGGCAAACGACATTAGCGATCGTAGCATCAAGACAAATGAACTTACCTGGAGGACCGAATTCTACGACAAGGTATCCCTGCTTAGCGACCAACTTCCAGCCTGAGAAGCGAGAGCAAACCCTGACAGCAATGACATTTTGATCCTGGTGAAGCTTTAGTTTGACAATGTTTACCAAAGACACCAATTCTTACTTCGAGGAGTCGGAAAATATCATGGTCCTTAGGAAAGAGAGTTCCTTCAAGCTGTCCTAAAGTCAGTACAAACTCTACCAAGGTTTTTATAAAGGGCAAAATAAAACAAAGGCGACACACCTGCACAAACTCCCTAGACTCCAGCTGGTTTTTGTGACTCTCCCACGTCAGCTGCACGTCATCCTTCACCCTCGGCTCAGTCGCATTTGCGTTTTCCAAAATGGATATCTCAAACCAAGTCCAGTTACCCTTTGCCCTATCAGAGCAATAGCCTTGGTCATGAGACTCTGTAATAAGCTGAATGCTGCGTAGTTTCTGGATGGTCTTTCCATCAAGAGGCTACAATAGATAGAAAAGCATGTCAGTGACAGAATCTTCAAGGGAAGTAGGACAGAAATTGCCTACTGGAGTTTTGAACCAGGTGTTACTTTCAATGTCGGAGCCATAAGACTCAACGTATCCTCTCTCGGTTGATCCAATGGCATATTTACCGTCCAAGGCATCAGCAGGTGAAGAGGGATAGATTGGGAGAGCCTCTGCGTTCTTCAAAGCTTCCATGATAAAATATTTGTTAGATAATGTAAAGAACTTTCAATAGGATCGATGATGTAGGTTGGAAATTACAGAAAGTTCAGAGCGCTCAAGACATGAGTGACGGCGTTGGAAAGCTGGGAATATATGATAGAGGAACCAGCGACAGTATTCAGGCAGCCAGTCAATTCCGGACCATGATACGAGCTACCCCTCCCGGATTCACATGCCTACGCAAGCCACTCATGCACTATGATAGATCTCAGTTAGCTGCGTAAGTTTTTGTGAAACTCAAAAAGAAAGTTTACTTACAACTTGTCTCTGGAAGAAGCTGAAAATTTAGCCTTTCGGCCACAGTATTAAGAACTTATCGTAAACCTGTTACATTAATTAAGTACGACTTATAGAACGACAGCTGGTACCACTGAAGCCTGGACTGAGGGAGAATCAGTGAAAGTTTGCTCTAGACACAGCGTATCTTATTAACTGAGATCACAACTAAGGATTTCAAGCCTCGATATACCACTTCTGTCTCAGCTTCCGTATTAAAGCTTGCGAGTGATCATCCAGTCACATTCCTCTCTTTATTGTTATGTCTTATGTATTCAGAGATAATCTATTTTGGCGATAGCGCTGAGGAAACATTGCGTGGCACACTTGACGTTTTCGGGTTTTGTGGCGTCCTCGGGAACATCCGTAGTTCGCGATCGTAAGTTTCGGACTCACAGCAAATCATCGGTCGGTGCCGTTTCCGTCTCATATCCCCGGAAGCCGCGATAAGCAGTATTATGCAACGTGCGATTTATTTTAATATTTTACAGATATATCGATCACGAGGACAGCACCTTGCCTATGTTCGGGTTGCATGTATTACGATGAGGTGTCGCTATTGTCGAGCGAAATTATCAGAACACATTTAATGTCAAATGAGTCTTTACTGCCTTCGCAGAGCAGGCAGCTTATTAAGATGTTTTGAGCTACATGTAGATCCTAGCTATGGTATCCTGCCATGTTATGCGCACCTTAAAGTGGTAGCACAAATCTATGGTCTTTCTTCTAGGCTCCTAATATATCACAGCATAACTACCAAAGCAGCTTACTCGATACTCATATAATTAAAAGGCCAGATCCTACTTAAACAACGATATTTTAGCTATAGTGCTTTCTTCTTTTGATATTAATAGACGGCGTAGCACGCGAGCGATGATTTTTACCAAGACCGCTACCCAGGTTGTAACGCGGGCTATAAAAGGTCAACGTACCAAAATTGTCATTGATGTCTCTACAATAAAGGCTATCATACCAGGATGTTTTAGGCTGGATCCTGAGAGTTTTTAGGACCATTTGTTAACTCAAGGCGACTATATCAAGTTTATTCTTCGGATGTTTTGGGCGTTTAAAATGGTTCTAGCCAGCCACATAACTCAGGTACATAATTCCTGCATGAGCTCTCGGATGGAGCCAATAAGGGATGAACACATGGTCCATGGCAACATTTTGAGGCCTGACACGGGATTCAAACCACATTTCCTTACTTTGGCTATGCAGAGTGAGGCATTTATTGGTTTCGCGACTGTGCTTTTTCTTTTGCGCTGCTTTCAGCCTTCATTGGGATCTGTGTACGTGCCACGCAGGCCACTTATCTGATCGCTTACTTATGTTCCTGATGTCCCCGACCACCCCTCTTTTGACACGAACATCACTCTGTCGAAGACTCTAGTCTAGCATGTAGCCTTCACCATCCATTCTACAAGTGCCTCACCGCTATCAGCATACTCATAAATGAGCTGTTGAACTTTTGAAGATGAGTCTTTGCGAAATTTGTCAGAAAACCTTCCACATTCCAGTGTCAAGTAGCAATGCAGAGTTCGTCGCAGCTACTTCCAAGATACTGTCAGAACATGGAGAATGGCACAGAACTTCAGGTAATGGGAAAGAGTTTGACAAGAAAGAACACTCCTTTCTACATTCAACGTGGGATTCTCTTATTAAATCACTTAGTCATGACTGCCCTGTTTGTTGGACCCTTTGGCGGAACATCCGATCTTCTCCAATTGTGTCCCCAAACAATGAAAGAATAACGGACTTCAAGGCACAGATCACTGAGTTTTCCTTCTGCTGCTACAGGAACGATAGTTCAGTAAGCATATCAGTAACTGGTCACCCGCTGGAGTCGAAAACAATTACCATTTATATAAGTAAGACAACTGAGAAGTGCTACCTAGGTAAGCAGTCCCATACAAGTTCGAGGCGTCTTATCCTTTACGCTGAGGAATGGCAAATTAGAAGCCGAAAAGGAATTTCCTCTTACTGTGCAACATACACCAAAGTCAGTTGCTGAAGTTACAAACCGCTGGATCAAAACTTGCGAAGGACACCATGTGAGTTGCTTGAAGCCAGCTGCTCCACCAAGAGATGCAACAATGCCTACTCGCCTTTTAGACTTGGGTGATCCCAATTCAAACTTTTGGCGTCTTCATCAGGATCCAGGACATGTTCCATACGCTGCACTCTCTCACCGATGGTCCTCTGACACGCCTGAACTACACACCAGCAATTACGAGAAATATGGCAATTTTCAGCCCGATACCATCCTCCCACAAAGTTATCAAGATGTTATTTCTATCTGTCGCGCTATACCAATCCAATATCTCTGGATTGATTCTCTCTGCATTATACAGGATGACAACAGCGAGGAATTCTCGAAGGAAGCTCCACTTATGAGGGATATTTACCAATATGCATTCCTTACACTATCGATCTGCTGGGACTTCCCCGGTGTTTCTTTGTTTCGAAGGTGTCGGCCTCGAAGTGTACCTCGACCTTATCCTCATTTTTGTCAAGTAGAACATAACTGTGGACCAGTGTCAGATGAGTGGGTATTTATCACTGAGAGTTCAGGTCATAGATTGCGAGATATATGTGAAGCACCCGTCAACCGGCGAGCATGGGTGTTACAGGAACGCTACCTTTCGAGACGTCTCCTCTACCTTAGTAGTGACCAATTATACTGGGAATGCAGCAAAGGCATCGGGAGTGAAGTCTGTCCGACCACTTTTCATCTTAGTGGTGAGAGAGAGTCTATTGTGTATCTTACTGGGGATAGAAAAGTTTCGTCCTGGAACTCGACGCTTACAGAATACACCAAAAGCGATCTAACGTTTGAAAGTGATAGGCTTGTTGCCATTGCTGGCCTTGCTAAGCTAATCGCAAGTAGGACTGGTGGGACATATCTTGCTGGTATTTGGCTGGAGTCTTGGATGAACGGCCTTCTTTGGAAGCCAGGAAAAAAAAGATCCCGAAGCCTCAACCTCAAGGCAAAGGAATTAACCATGGTTCCGCCCTCGTGGTCTTGGCTGGCATTTCCTGGATCGGTGAAGACAGGTGCCGGATTTGGTGAAGAGGGACCGATTATCTCAATGTCAACTCCTAACTCATTCGAGTCAGATACGTACTGGCCATTAGCTCTTCTGAGCCAGGCTATAGTCATTCCATCAACAAGCGACCCTTTTTCGTCCTTCGAACGAGCTATTTTGAAGATTCGGTGCCTGCTCATGCCGGTAACATTCGGAGGTATTCCCCACAGAAACGAGCCAACATGGTTCTTCCGTCACGAGAGGGATGTCGAATTATCTTCAGTTGGGCTGAGTCGTCTCCGGCTTCGAGCTTGTGAGCGAGAACATGGGAAGAGATGTGCCATCTTTCAACTCCATTTTAGCGAGTATATTGACATGTCTGTGCAATATTTTCTCGTCCCACTCTATATTCGCCACCTTAAATCGCTGCCAAATATCAAGCGCTGGCCACATTGCTATGGGCTTGTGTTACAGGAACTCCCAGGCGGTAGCACCCGAGAATTCATCAGGGTCGGAATTTGGAGCGAGGAGCACAATTGGCCATCTCAGCTCATCCCTATGATCAGCAACACAATCGCCAAACTAGACCTGAAGAAATCGGCCTTGAGTGATGGAAACTTGACTGAAAATGAGCGCGTTTTTGACTTGAAGCTTCATGAGTATGCAATAGGTCATGCTGCTTCAGAAGTGGAAATTCCTACGAAGGTCGTTGAAGAGGTAGTGGAACATCAGCCAAATATCGAGGAACTCAAGGAGAAGGCCGCTGTTTCCGGGTCTGAGGCTGATGAACAAGAGTCGAATAAAGTAGATAAAGAAGAAGGGCCCTCAACGCCCCTCGAAGTGGTAGAATGCTCGTTGCTGCCGCATTTCACTACTGCAGAGTGGGGTACTATCTCCTTAGTATAGTTCTCAGAAGCATAAATCAGCTGATGAAGTTACGGCCCGGGCTCTCATCAATGAGCGTTGATTTATTGTATGTATCTAGTCGGAAAGATGTGAAGGATAACCATCCTACATTTCTCAAACGTTCAACATGTCACTACAATGGACTATTTACAATTGCTCTCATGGTGACTCTCAAAGCTACATGTCAATATCCCGAAGCTTCTCAGTATGCCATAAATACTTTACTCTTTGAGCGTTAAGTCTGTAGATAGTGAGCAGTGGGCGAGCAGTTGCGAAGTGCCCCCTTAGCAAGATATCGGCTTTATGCTATATTGATGGGTTATCGTTGTACTGTAATGTCTAAGTTGTAACCTAGATGTATTTGCAGTCGATACTCACACTTGAAGCTTAAATCAGCATAGGGAACTTGGTATTGAGTAACGTAAATCTAGCTCTATAGTATTGCATCATTATTGGTTAATCATTGCTGAGGGAGTCGAATAATTGGGTAGAGCCCAGCGAAATGTCATCGCGCAGATCGATGACGTGGGCTATCATGCTAGTCCCGTTATTCCAGTGTCCCAGCGTCATCAGACATCGAATCGCAGAGACTGATGCTGGTATTTGCAGAATATTACGTACTTGATACGTTTTCAATAAATCTTTCTTCCATATTTCTATACTCTGCGACATTGGCAACGTTATCTCGAAACCCTTGCAATTTCATCAGACTTGAAGCACCACGATCATCATGGCTACGCGTAAGTTAGGCCTTCTGGCCGTAGACCAACTAAAGTAAAAGCATATGCTGATTTGTTTCTAGACCACGCGAAGAATGAAGTTCTCAAGGCCGCTGCCCTATTCGATGTATCGCACATCACCGCCGTCGTAACAGGCGGCGCGACCGGCATTGGACTGATGATCACTCAAGCTCTACAGTCCAATGGCGCCAAGGTCTACATCACAGGCCGCCGTAAGGAGGTGCTTGAGCAAACCCAGAAGACATACGGTACAGGGCCTGGAAGTATTCATGTTCTTCCAGGAGATGTCAGTGAGAAGGATGAGGCTATTCGCCTGGCGGAGGAGGTTGCCAAGAAGGAGCCGAATGGTATTCACTTACTTGTTAACAACGCCGGTATTGCAGAGGATGACAACACCAAGTTCTGTAAGCCTACCCAATTCTTCGGATCGTAGCTTGTGCTGATGCTAACCTTTTTCAGCCTCGGCTGGCGAGCCCGATATGTCCGACGCCAAGGCTCTTTCGGAGCACTTCCTCAAGACTGAGCCACAGCAATGGGCAGACACACTAAAGACAAACGTGACTGGACCTTATTACATGTCTATGGCCTTCCTGCCACTACTCGCCAAAGGGCGTGAAAACACTCCAGGTTATTCCTCTCAAATCATCAATGTCTCTTCCATCTCGGGAGCGATGAAAGGTTCCAGCATGGGACAGCCAGCCTACGCCACCTCCAAGGCTGCTCTTACCCACCTTAGCCGTATGATAGCTACTCTCACCAAGGACGTCAAAGTACGAGTCAATGTCATCGCACCAGGCTTGTTCCCCAGTGAGATGACTACTGGAGAATCTGATGAAGGTAACAAGAGCAACATTGATAAGAAGATGACTAACCCAGCTGGACGACCGGGTCATGATACTGATATGGCTGCGACTATTCTCTTCCTTGCTGGAAAGGGTGGCTTGTTTTACAATGGCCAGATTGTTTATCCTGATGGAGGTGAGGCTCTCTTGATCTATTTATGTTTAGTTTTTATTGACCTTTAGCTCAGGCTCGACATTGATCAACCCTGCAATCGCGAACTGATACTGTTGAGATCAAGGGAGCGGAATATGTCACGTGGAGTTGACAGTAGATAGAGTCTTTATGTCACAAGTTGACAATTCTTTCATTAGTTGTTAAACCTAGTCTAACTATAAGCTCTACCAATCTAAAGCCTTATTGTATCGATCACTTTAGACCTGCTCATTCTCCTCAGCAATGGCTCGAGACTTCTCAGCAGTAAGGTCAGCACCCTCGGCGTTGCGTCGGAATTCCTCCTCCTGCAGTGTCAACTCCTCAGACAGTTGACCATGGGCCTTCCACACAGGCTTGATCTCAAAGAGGCGGTCCATGGTGTCAAGAGGCAGACCCTTGGTCTCAGGGATGAAGAAGAAGACGAAGATGGAAGACATGATCATGAGTGATGCGAAGAAGAAGTAGACGCCATAACCCATCTTGAGGAACATCTGGGGAGTAAAGCGGGAGACGATGAAGTTCCAGAACCAGTTGTTGGCGGCAGCTGAAGCTTGACCGAGTGATCTGCAGCATGTTAGTGATGTGTCGAAATAGAAAGATGGTAGAAGAAACATACCTGGAGTTCTCGTTGAAGATCTCAGAGTTGAGGACCCAGGGGATAGGATTCCATGTGGGGGAGTAGAAGGCAGTCCAGAGGTAGAAGAAGAAGACGGCAGCAATGCCACCGCTTGACATCTTGGGAGCCTCAGCTCCGTCGGCGGCAGCAGCAGCAACCTTGGCAGCGGGGTCGGCAATCTTGATATAGGCACCGATGAACCACATGCAGAGGGAACCACCAACTGAACCGATAATAAGCAACTTTCTGCGTCCAACAGTCTCAATCAGGAACAGGATGAAGATAATAGTGATGGCGGTTTTGACGACACCAAAGATACCGGTGGTGAGGAAAGAGGTGTTGGTGCCCTGGATACCGATGCTCTTGAACACAGTAGGGCTGTAATAGTTGATAGCGTTGATGCCGGAACCGTTCTGCCAGAGGAACATCATGCCACCAAGGAAGAATCGCCATTGAACCTTGCGGCTCTTGAGCGCAGTGAAGGGCTTCCAGAAACCAGGGCCGACTTCCTTGTTGTAGCGCTCGAGTTCCTGGTCGATGTAGCTGACCTCTTCGACGAGATAAAGATCGTTGGCAGGAAGCTGTCTCAACCAGCACAGGTTCCTCATGGCCTCCTCACGACGACCCTTGGAGAAGAGCCAACGAGGCGACTCCTTGATCCAGAAGGAACCGAAGAGCAGCAGGCCTGCGGGAATGAGCTGGACAGCGAAAGGAATGATCCACTGCTTGTGGCTAGGAGCCATGGTCTCAGCAAGTCCATAGTTGATCCAGAAGCCAACAAGGCCACCAATCTGCCAGCCAAGCTCATAGATACCAACAAGACGACCGCGAATAGCAGGAGGAGACAGCTCAGAGCAGTAAATAGGAACCATATTCGAACAAGCGCCAACACCAACACCAGCGAGAACACGACCGCCGATGATAAGACCCAAGCCACGCTCAGCATTAGCGCCAAGCATCATACCCGCGCCCAGCATGAAAACAAAGCTGAACGCAATAAGCGAGTATCGTCGACCGATGAAGTAGGATGTGATGAAGGCGAATAAACTGCCGAAGAAAGCACCGGCTTGATAGACAGAGACGATGTTGGACTTGAGAAGAGCGAGGTCATTGGGTTCGTACGAGGCAAAGTCGAATTCCTCCGTGAAGCTCGGCAGCGCGATCGTCGTGCCGATGAAGGCGGAGTCGTAGCCGATCATGCATGATGCGAAGGACGCGATGGCCGCGCTGGCGTATACACGCCAGTTGTAAACAGCCTTGGGAGTCGGCCTGTCCTCATTGACGGCGAAGATGTTGTTGATGGAGAGACCCATGATAGCCAGCACAAGAGAGGATAGTCTGTGTTGTCTGTGGAGGGAGATGAGAAGATCTGGGGTTCGAATTTTTATAACTATGGGGAAGCGAGAAAGGCTCTTTAATATATGCCTCCGGTCCAATGGCCACGAGCCAATTACAGCACCGTCTGCGCTTGAAAGTTTATCCCATCCCTGGTGTTAGTCTCGACTGGCGCGTCTTAGCGCGTGTGCGGAGAAGGGCTCGTGGTAGGACTAGAAAGGTCGAGATTGCGAAAACCCCGCATACGCTGGGGTAGCGCCAAGGGAGATTTTTCGCTCTAACCGTGACTCGTAGCGTAGAGGGTTAAGAGTTTACCCCCCTGCGGCATCGCACAGCTTGCGCTTAGTTTCCGTATGATGATGGGGGGATTAGAAGCTGTTGTTTGCCCTCATTGGGAAGTTCTGGGGTTGGGAGGCAGATTCTGGGGACCCCGCATGGAATTAAACTAGTGGGGTAAGTAATCATCCCCACGCGTCTGCTGATTCAAAGGATTCGTCGTAAGCTGGGGGGTAAGTGTTGATCCCTCTCTGTCATCTACGCCTTGGATAAGTGCCAGTAGCCAAGTGCCAAGTGTTCACCGATTTGATGTGATGTGTAAATGCTCATATGTGCGAACAACCACTTGAATTACCTCGGATGAAGAGATGTCTAATGGCATTGACTCAATAGGTTTAACTACTGCGAGTTGGTGGTGGAGCCGAACAACCCGTCATGCGACTTGAAGATCTTATCAAGGAACAAGAGTGACGACTGACAGACATGGATCTCAGAGCAAGGGCTCCGTATTGGACAGCGACTGTGGAGAAAAGGGCAAAGATCTCGCCAGATCAGGGGGTTTCGGTAGATTGAACCGGCCACGTTCCTGAATGGGTACACTGCAGCGTCGGTCATGCTTGCCTCTCGGTATTGATGACAGTAGCCAACAGTGTCTAGACTTCCCCATAGTTTATCCCCAACGCTAATTTTCCCCGCCGGCTGTTGACTTATGATCAGCTCTGGTGGAATTGGGGGAGATTACCACCTGATCGATTGGCTCACGCGCCTGGACATGGGCCAGCCATTGTAACAGGTTCGGGAAGGTTAAAAGGGATAAAAGAATAAGAGGAGTCTAGTAACCAGAGCTGAGTCGCTCATAGTGTGAGTCTGTTTGGTGATGTTTGGCCCTGCTTGTGAACGTGATGCAATAGTCCATAGGCAACTCATTGAGCTTTGTCATCACGTCAATGAGGCACGTCAGCCAGATAACTAGGAAAGGAAAGTAAAAAAGAAATCGGTACCTCATAACTTAGATACCAATGATTTATCAGGACATCGGATAACGGCTCGCAGGTATAGAAAGAGGCCTCATGATTTGAATTGACGAGATGATGTAGGGTAGGCCAGCAGGACGCGACTGACTCCCACCGAGAGTTAGTGGGACACACAGGGGTTTCGCGTTTCTCCACCTTCACAAGGGGTCGATAACGGAGCGAGATAGATCATAGATACGTCACGTAGCTCGATTGAGGATCGAGAGAGTGATAAAAAATATTTGCATGAATATTAATCTTATGTACAATGGTCTATTAAATTAACCGGTGTATCGGAGCGAAAACAGGCCTCGCTCAATGGAGCTGACCAAGATGTTGCCGCTCTGGAAGTAAGGGTAAACAGACCAAGCACCATAAAACTGCGCCTCACCGCCAACAGCATCATCCTCAGGGTGAACATCAAAGAAGCCAATCTCCTCGAACAGAGCACCAGTGTCATCCTGAGAAATCGAAGACACATTCACCATGCGGAGACCAGATCCGTAATTAGCCTGGTATGACACGCCGCCAACGACATACTGGTTATGATCGATAGAGCGAACAGGGCTCTTGTAAACACCACGAAAGACAGGGTACTCAAGATCCTGGATATCGACAATGTATGTGGTTGTGTGCTGGTCAGTTGCAGGACCAGTCTTTTCTTGCTCATCCAGCTCGTCGTCGAGGAGGAGATACTTGTGATCCTCTGTCAACCAACCCTGATGGGTATATGTTGCGCCGTTGTATGTAGTGCGCGATAGCTGGCGGGGCATAGTGCGACGAGAAATATCAACGATAGTGAGAGCATCTTCATTATAGTTGAAGCAAATCTCACGACCCTGGAAAGCCTTCTGGGGACCACGGTAAATAACGCACTGCGCGTCGTGAACGTAGCCATCCGAAGCGACACAACCCGCATCCTGAGGACGCTTTGGGTTAGAAACGTCAATCATCCAGAGACCAGCGCGACACTTGAGGTCGTAGGCTGTACCGACGGCGGCGATGAGGGCGGTCTCCTCGTTGGCGACGATGTTGTGGCTGTTACCGAAAGCGCTAAAGTGCGCGGCCAAGTCACTTCTGATGCTGAAGGTGGGAGGGTTCTTCTTGTCGGTGTTGAGGAGCTTGGTGAGGTCGAAGATCTGGAGACCGTGGCCAGCTGCTTCAGAGCCGATGTAGGCGTAGTTGCCGATGACCTTGATGTCGCGCCATGACGAAGCGACGGTCTGGGTTGGAAGGCGGCCGACGTAGGTTAGGCTGCCGTCGGGGTGGACTTCGGCGAAGGCTGTGCCGTCTGACTGTCCGAGAAGGGCGAACTCACGACCACTGGAGGCATGTGTCCAGCCTAGGAGATCAGTTAGCAAAAGGAAGCGTCACATATTGAAAGCAGCTAGTAACGTACCCCAGACATCGTTACCGACGCGAGTTCGGCTACCCATATCCTGGTGGCGCAAGAAGCCCAAGAGGTCAATCTTGTTACAAGAGTAGCCTCCCGCTTTACCATCAGCACAAGGCGTACCAGAGCTGAGGACCTTGTAGCGGTCTTTGTCAAAGACACCAGCCGCAGCTTCACTCTCATGAAGAGCCATCTTGCGCTGCTTAAGCTCTCCCATACCAATGGCATGAGGGGCACTCTTGGCACGGAGGTAGTCCTCATTGTACTTGGCCGTGTTGATCCTCTGGGTCTGTGCGACGGCAGAGCCCGCGAGGGTGGCTAGGAGGAGGGAGGTGATGCTGGCCTTCATGGTGACGGGTTGGGGAGGTTTCAAAGAGGTGATGAGTGAAACTACAGAGCCAATGCTACAAGGCTCACGGGGACTCTTTATACTTGG